ACATTAAGCAAAAAAATAACATTCTATTCCCGATGCCTTCTTTAAAGGAAGATAATCGAAAACAAAATGAATACACAAAAATAATTACCAATACCAGATGTAATATACAAAGGACGATATTTCCAATATCGAAAACAAATGAATGTAAGGATACTGGATCAAAAAATGTAGTTTTAAATTTACAAATTACACCATGAACAGATGAAAAAATATATTGTCAACGGTATTGTAAAAAAATTAATTTTTACTTCTTGATGAATAAAAATATATCGTTACTATGCGTAACATTTAATCTCTTCAAAACATTTTTATAAAAGAAATTATCCACTTACCCCCGAAAAAGCAGATTAACTAATTACACGACTCCTGATTGAATCATTTTCAGAAGACGTGTTTTAAGAAAAAATCAGGAGGTGATTTTAAAAGGACTCGCAAATATTACAAAATAACTCCATGTGTCAAAAGTCCAATCGAACTGTTTGAAAAATTCCTCCGATGGTGGAATCCTGAAGCTTGGCGTTCTGGAACGAAATCAAGACCGTCCATAAATTTCGATATCACTGTGGCGTCGAAAAACATTTCATCTGTAAAGGACATCTTGGTTTCTGGTACCAAAAACTCCCATTTCTATGAATCGGTAGGTGTCTATGGCTTTTAGAAATCGGGAAGAGGATAGAAGAGGAGAGGACAAACATATTTCATAAATCTTTCAGAAATCGATTGGATCGGAACGTAGAGAGCAGTCTCATTCGATAATATTCGGATGGTTTGGATAGTTCACACACAGTTATTCAGAAACATCTCCAATATCAAATAATCCATCAGAAATAAAGACTGGTCTTTTCACCAACAGAAGAATCTTCAAACACATTCACGTATGCGGACATATTAAAATAGTTGTAAACATGTTTCCTCTGAACGTATTTCGGGAATATCAGGCGAGATAACGTATTTCGAGAACATTAGAAAAATAAATCTAGAATACAATCAGCAAGATGCTTTGTCATGAATGAGTTCTGAATGTAAAATTCTGGAGTTTTTAAGTTCAGATAAGATTTTAAAAAAA